ATTTTGTCGCTATTTTCGTCGTCGTCTTCGCCGTGGAGATCAACTTCGTCGTCGTCGCCATTGCTCTCTTTTTCAATTCGTTTCTCAACGCTACCTTCTTCTTCGTCGTACGCGTTGTCCCCTTTTTCATTATCGTCATTTTCTCCCTCTCCTTTCTGATGATCATCTTCATCCTCATCTTCATCTTCATCATCCTCATCCTCATCCTCATCCTCATCTTCATCTTTATCCTCCTCATTTTCATCCTCATCGTCGTTCTCTTCTTTTCCCATTTCATCGTCAGTACCTTCTTCTTCCTTATCATCATCTTTTTTGTCGCCGTCGACTTTTTCAAAAATGTCCATATCTTCTACTTCCATTTCCTCGGAGTTGTAGTGGTGGTGATCATCAGCAGCAGCAGAAGCATCATCAAGGTGAGGCTTTTTTGAAGGGTAAAGAGGGTCATCAGTTTCTGGCAGTTGATGGTCTTCAGCACTTGATACTGACAAGTCAACTTGGCGTGGAACTGAACTGAAGTTTTCGTTTCTAAACTCCCGGAGAAGCTTTCGGACAGCGTCGATGGTGATTGGGGTGTCAGCCCCGTACTGTGCCATGTACTCTCGCCAAAGGACAGCACCCCTAACTTGACGATCAGCGTTCCAACGGCGATAGAGGTAGTGGGCGTAATTGAACGACATAGTGAAATTGTTGAGATCACCAGTTGCAGCAGTAAAGAACGCATGCAAAAAGAAGCCTTAACAGTGCTCACTGTGTTTACTTTTTTGTTTCTTGCCACTGCTGCTGATAGCGTCAGAAACGAACCGATTCTTATCACACACGATTGATTCGTTTGCTCGCAGTCACCACACTCTTTTACTATCTCTCACTATCTCCTTTTTGCAGCAAAAGAAATACTTTGGAAAATAGGGAAATCGGTCAACTTTTCAGACATTGTTACACAGCCCACACTGCGCTATCGTGCAGCAACAGCCGAAAAGTGGACCAAATTTCTGTCCGCACTACACTGAGAGGCTAACTCGTAGCGCCATCTACAACCATGCGGGAAAACTCGCTATGCTTGATCTTTATTTATATTTTGGCCTTATAAATCTATTGTCTTGAAATTTTGTATTTTCAAAATGAACATTTTAATT